CTTGTTATAGAAATAAAAGGGGGGCACTTCTTGGAAATCAGTTTTGTCACCTCTCCCCCCCGCCAAACCTCGAGACAATGAGCCCAGCCACCTTTTATTCACAGTCGCATAAGCACTACAGTACAGCATGGCCATAAACCTGTACGTTCAACTGCTGAAATATACACCCAGTATGTAGCAATGGAGATTTGTGTTACTGCTTTATGAATGAACACTGTGCTTTATGAATGGACTCTGTATTTTGTGAATTACCTAAGAGTCACCAATAGGGAGCTCTAGAATCTGACAGCTAACCTACTGGGTTCTACCAAACAGCGACTCCTATTGCTGAAAGCAGGTAACCAGCAGGGAATGCTTCAGCTCAGCCTTTGACTGTTGACTGAACACACCCTGCTGTGCACATAATGGAGAAAGCTCGTAAACTGTATCCCTTCTGGCATCCTGGTCAACTCTATTATGCTGGTGTAAACCCTGGTGCACCAGAAGAACAGAATAGCAGCAAATAAAATCTGCGCATACATCAGCGACTGATAAGACTTGTCAACCAGTTCTTCCAAAGTCTTCCTAAATTATAAAGCTCCAAAATACAGGCCAAAAGAGAGCAGGTCTGGGAAGAGCGAGGCATACAATGGGCACCACCAGTGAAAAGGCCCTGCTCCACGTAGCTCCTACCCTGTCATTTGACAGGGTGCTGACTTGCTCTCCTTCTTGACATGGAATGCTCTCTATTGGAGTCTCCAGGTCCAGTACAAAGACCATAAGAAGGGAGAGCAGGGACCTTGAAGTTCCCAACAGCTGTTAAATAAGCAAGCAAGCAAGCAAGCAAGCAAGTAAGCACACAGGTCACCTTTGTTACAGTTAGGATGCCTACGTCCTGGCCAGACCTGCGCCTAATCTTGTTTTTATAAAATCTTGTTTGTCCTCAGTAACCAAAATTATATTATCAATATATACAAGCAGAAAAGTTGTTTCCCTTCATTTGCAAGCAATCGTACAAAACAAAGTGACACTAATAAAGAAAAGTTCTAGGGTGACAACAGAAAGCAAACTAAAAATGCTTTTGCAGTTCATCAAAACTATCCAGCAATATCAAGTTATAGGAAAACTGGTGGTATTAACAGTAATCCTTCTAGTTGGTTAACTGCAAGTGTGTTGCAGGTAAAGTAAAGGTAAAGGTACCCCTGCCCGTACGGGCCAGTCGTGTCCGACTCTGGGGTTGCACGCCCATCTCGCTTCAGAGGCCGGGGGCTAGCGCTGTCCGAAGACACTTCCGGGTCACGTGGCCAGCGTGACAAGCTGCATCTGGCGAGCCAGCGCAGCACACGGAAACGCCGTTTACCTTCCCGCTAGTAAGCGGTCCCTATTTATCTACTTGCACCCAAGGGTGCTTTCGAACTGCTAGGTTGGCAGGCGCTGGGAACGAGCAACGGGAGCGCACCCCGCTGCGGGGATTCGAACCGCCGACCTGACGATCGGCAAGTCCTAGGTGCTGAGGTTTTACCCACAGCGCCACCCGCGTGTTGCAGGTAGAAATACTGTTTGTAATTAAGTGAGAGCAGTAGTTTACTTGCTCGAATTAACAAATAAGAAAGTTTTGAGAATTTAAACTCTAGATTAAAATTGATTACTTAATTGAGAAGGGGATTGTAACAAAAACACTGGGGCCTAATTGAATAGTAGAGTGCCTGGTATCTGGTGAGCAATCTCATCCTTTATTTCCACACTGTGGCTGCAGACCAAAGCACTCGTCAGGAGAGCTATGAGATTCAGGTGAGGGTCAGATGCCTTGTCAATCCCAGCAGGTATATAACAGGAAGACCTGGCCTGCCCAGCCACTCTGTGTTGCTTCCAGCATATACAAAAACATAATAAAACATTAAAATCTTCCCAAACAGGGCTTTCTTCAGATGTCTTCTAAAGGTTGTATCTCCTTGACATCTGATGGGAGGGTGTTCCACAGGAAGGGAGCCACTACCAAGAAGACCCTCTGCCTGGTTTCGTGTAACCTAATGTCTCATGGTGAGGGAACTGCCAGAACGCCCTCGGAGGTAGACCTCAGTGTCTGTGCTGTAGTGAAGTATGTGATCCATTCCTTTCTGAAGACCCCAGGTTGCTCTGACACCTGAGATGCCTTGATTTCTTACTTTATTACTAAGCAACAACCTCCACTTCTGAAGCCCTGCACTTAAAATAATCTAATAAAAACCTATGTGTTTTATTTAACACCAGATTTCCTTGCCGATGTGAGGCTGACCCTCAGTATTTTTCTAATGTTAAGAGTGGTCTGAAGTTAATTAACCAGTTCATACCCATAAAGGCTGCTGCCCCATGTTGAGCAAGTCTGTTCAAACAAACCCTGCACGTTTGTATTTGCTGAGCAGGAAAACCAGACGGCAAAGTTTGCGGTGGAGCTGTTTGACCATGCCATTTCCAGCTGTGAAATGTTTCATGATTCATAATATGCAAGCACCAGATTCACAGTGAGAGTATTCCCCTTCATTCACTGTGAATAATTCATTCATTTGGCAGATAGGAATCGGCTCAAAACATCCCGTTTTATTTGGGCTGGCCACTCACTGTGATTTGTTGCTATCAGAGGCTGCAGCCCTGTGGTAGGGTGTGGGGGCTTTTGGAGCCTCAGTGTGAAAACCTCCATTTGGAGCATGTTGCATCCTAGGCCCTGTGCTTGCCAGGCCACTTCTATCAATAGGCAGAGTGAGGCAACTGCCTCAGGCAGATTTTGGTTTTCATGAAAGGGCAGAGAACTGTGTTACTCAATTTTTATTTTTGCTTTGCACAGAGATATTTGCACTTAGCACTGTTTCTGGGTTTTTTAATATATATTTTTTAACTTCATTTTTTATACTTGCCACTAAACACGTATTATTTAGTAGATACCTATATTATTAGGTATCTACATAATACAGTGGTACCTCGGGTTAAGTACTTAATTCATTCCGGAGGTCCGTACTTAACCTGAAACTGTTCTTAACCTGAAGCACCATTTTAGCTAATGGGGCCTCCTGCTGCCGCCACGCCACCAAAGCACAATATCTGTTCTCAACCTGAAGCAAAGTTCTTAACCTGAAGTACTATTTCTGGGTTAGCGGAGTATGTAACCTGAAGCATATGTAACCCAAGGTACCACTGTAGTGTGTGTGTGTGTGTGTGTGTGTGTGTGTATATGTGTGTGTGTGTGTGTGTGTTGTATATGTACATTATGTTGTCTGTTGTGTTACTTTGTGGTAAACTGCTCTGTGGTGTGATATATAAACTCGAACAACACATACTGCCGTATGATGTGTGTCCCCGCCTCAAACCAGTTTCAGTCCAACTAGACAACTGGATGCGCAATAAACGGTAGTGGGAACATAGCCTGAGAGCCATCGTGCCTGTGCAGATGAGCATGCAAATGAACAGTTCTAGGGGGGTTGCAGGGCCTGGGAAACTGAAAAAGTCATGTGCGTTGGGTGAAGACATCCTCACCCCCTGATGCCAACCATTTTGTACATGCAGATGTGTTTCTCTGTGTTCCAAGCCACTAATGTGAATATACCCTTAGGCCCAGGAGTTTAATGCATGTATTAAACTTCCAGGCCTATCAGGACTTTTCCTGGGCCACAGCCCTCAGAGACCCTGCTCCACACTTTCAAGTGCTTTTGCCTGAGTGGTGGAAAGCACCCTTGAATTGTGATAGTGCCTCTTTCTTGCCCAGATAGAGCAAGATAGAGAAATAGTGTGTGTGGGAGGTGTATTACACCTTTGACTTTTGTGTGGGTGGAATGTAGCCTACTGTACACAGCTTGAGTCACACCTGTTACTCCACCCACTTTTTGACTCTGACTCCACCCACTGCTGCACCTGGCCCCACGCAGCCCTGGAACACAGACCTCGGAAGTTTCCTCTTGAGGGAATGTAGCTGCTTGGTTGAAAAGTTATTCAGTCCTGCCTTATGCAAAAACATCTCTGAAGGGTGGTGTGTATATCTTAAGACCCTCTTCCAGGCTGTGATTTCCCGGCAGTGGGGAGCCGGGTGATTTTTTAACATGCTCAGAAGCAAATTATTTCTCAAGGCACACCATTTGTTCCATTGCTGGCAGAGCTGGCTGCGAATGGACACAGTAGTCTTATCTTAAAAATGAATAAATAAAGAGAGAAAGGAAATCCTTACTGTATACCCCAGAACTGCATGCAACTCTATTTTTTTTCAAAAAGCTATCATAGTGTCCCAAAAATGACCCCTTTTCTTGAGGAAGCAAGGCTTGGTTTGTTTTAGTTTTATTTGGTATTCTCATCTTGCATTTTTCTGTGGCGAACCGCCCTGGGATCTTCGGCTGAAGGTAAAGAATACAAATTTAATAAATAATCACGATACTAATAATCAGAAAGGGAGAATTTTCCCCGTGACAAGGAATCGCCCGCTTCAAACCATAAAGCGGATCTTCGCTGCCCGTGTTTGCAAAGGCGCAACTGGGTCGAGGTCGGGAGGTGGCGGCAGCCAAGGAGCCACGCGGCACTCTCTCAGGAACTTTGCAAAGCTGGAGGTTGTTTGCTGCTCCGGGAAGGTGTTGGGTTACAGAGGAGGAATGAGAGCGGAGAGGGGGTGGGGGAGGCGGGAAGAGAGAAAGGGAGCAATTGCTCTAGCAGCTGATCTGCTGCAGCCGCCTGCAAGGTTCCTTCCAAGCCCAGCCAGGGCAGCGTGCGCCTAGCCTGAAGGAAGGGTCCGGTCGAAGAGGCGAGGCGGGCGGGCAGACCATCAAGCAAGTGGCCCCGGGGGCGCTCGGGCTATGCCGCGTGGCTGCGAGGCGCGCGCCGAGCCCCGGAGACGATGCCACGCAGGCAGGGAGCAACAGGCGGCCGGCGCGGCGGCGGCTCCCCCTAGATCGAGATGCCCAGGGCGGGCAGCGGGGAGCGACAGCCTCGGCTAGAGCAGCAGGCCTAGGAAGCCTCCCGAGGGGGGAAGGAGGGCCCCAGGAGGCGCCTCCGGCTGTGCCCGGAGCGACCCGAGGAGAACTTTTCTCTCTGCCGAGATGAACAAGCTGCGGAAGCTTTTCCGAGGCAGCGGGCGAGCCTTGGCCTTCATCTTCGCCGCCTCGGTGGTGTGGCTGCTCTTCGACATGGCAGCGCTGCGCCTCTCCTTCGGCGAGATCAACACCCGCGTCCTCAAGGAGGAGATGGTGCGGCGGGAGAGGCTGCGCGGCTGGCGGGAGAAGAGCCTCGACGGCGCCCGACCAGGAGAGGAGCTCCGGGCGCCGCCAGGGGCGCTGCCAAGGGGCCTCGAGGAGGAGAAGGGACGCGGCGGCCCAAGCAAGAAGAGGGGGAAGCTGGGCGCCCAATGGAGGCGCGCAACCCCCCAAGCGGCGGCAGCAGCTCCCAGCCTGCACTGGACGGCCGCCGTCGACGTCCGGAGCCACGCTCCGGCCGCCCCCGCGGAGAAGAAATCGAGCGCGGAGGCCGGCTCCCCTCGCCCGCCGCCCACAAAGCCGCCTCTTGCCAGCGGGTCGCCGGGGCGGGCGCTCGACGGTCCTGCCGTCGGAAGCAAGGTCGCCGCCAAAGGGCCCGGGCCGTTAAGCACGGGATCCAGGGGGGAGAGGCGGCGGTTTTTATACCCGACGGTGGACTAGGGGAGAAAGGCGCCTTGGCTGGATTGCCCACCAACGGAAGCAAATCTGGGGGACCTCGGGGCAGCCCCGGGCTACTGAGCGGGCCAAATGTCCCTGCAAAGCGGCCCAGGGGCCTGGATTTGCCTGCAGCTTCGGAAGCAGCACAGAAGTCTCCGGGTGCGCCACGTCCAGGAAAGCTGTCCGAGGAGGAGGCGGCCAGAATTGCCGGTGCAAAAGTCGTCCTGCCTAACCAAGTGGTGCTTATAAGCAAGGAGGGAGCGCGGGTGGTCTCCGCGGCCGCGCAGGCTCCCGAAGGCGGAGGAGGTGGAGCCGTCGGGAAAACGGCGCAAGTGACTACGGGCAAAATCCATGAGGGCCTGAGACCGGCGGGGGCGACCCTAAAAGTTATTCCAGTTGGAAGGGCTGAGCTAGGGAAGGCGGATGGGACTCGTTCCGCCCATCAGGACCAATCAAGGCAAACCAATAGGACCCATTTCACAGAAAGGGCCAAGCTACACAAAGTGTTGACTATTGATAGGACCTTGGCCCCAAGGGACCCCAAAGCGCTGGGTCAGTATGGGCGCCCGGCGGTGGTCCCAGGCGAGAAGGAAGAGGAGGCGAAAAGGAGGTGGAAGGAGGGGAACTTCAATGTCTTCCTAAGTGACCTCATCCCACTAGACCGAGCCATCGAGGACACAAGGCCTGCTGGGTAAGAGACCCGATTTCTTGCCTTGCACAAGTCTAGACTTGGGCTAGCATGAATTGCCCAGTGATCAAATGGATTTTATGCCACTTGCTTCGCGTTCGTTGCCAATAAATCTTGAGCAGCAATGGAAACATTAACATTTAGCGTAAAAAGAAACCCATCCCCATTCATTTTATAGGAAGCCACAACAATGCTTTTCATATACTGGGTGCAAGCACTGCCTTTGTACAGTGGTACCTTGGCTGTCGAACTGCTTGGCTCCCAAACACATCGGCTCCCGAATGCTACAAACCTGGAAGTAAGTGTTCCAGTTTGCGAACGTTTTTTGGAAGCTGTACGTCCAGTGCGGCTTCTGATTGAGTACAGGAAGCTTCTGCAACCAATCGGAAGCTGCATCTTGGTTTTTGAACGGTTCCGGGAGTCGAACGGACTCACAGAACGGATTAAGTGCAACAACCAAGTACCACTGTACACAGTTTTAAGACTGGCTCCCACTTTAACCTAAAGTATCGACTGGAAACAAGCATCCTATATAGTCTTAATTAATCCAAATTAACACGTTAATTTAATATGTGTGTTATAATAACTCTTTCTTAAATTTTAACATCCAGCCTTACACACGCTAACATGCAAAAATAATAATATACTTATAGTAAACAAATCCCTGTGTCCCTGAATAATGCTACCTTTTCCCTGCAGCTAAGCTGAGAATCTAGCTAAAGTTCTTTAAGGTTCTCAATGAACCCTGTTTTCTGGCTCACACTAGCTCTCCAAATCAGGACCATGTTGTTGATAGGTGATCACTGTACCTATAGGATGTATATAGGATGAAACGTTTCATTACTATATTGCCTGGCTTCATAGTTCATGGCATTGTAAATGTTCTCTATAGTGGTGGCTTGATTAATAAACTGTCCGGTGAGAGGTTCTTCCTATATTGTATATATAGATACAGTGGTACCTCTGGATGCGAACGGGATGTGTTCCGGATCCCCATTTGCATCCTGAAGCGAACATAATAAGCGTCTGCACGTGCGCGGGTCACATTTTGCCGCGTATGCGCATGATGTCATTTTGAGCATCTGCGCATGCACGAGCGGTGAAACCTAGAAGTAGCCTGCTCCTTTGCCTCCAGGTTGCCGCGGAGCGCAACCCGAAAATATTCATCCTGAAGCTACTTCAACCCAAGGTATGACTGTAACAGGTCCTGGCTTGGTTGAGTGGTTAACCTAACCTGGGCACTAGGTGGCAGTAGAATTGAAGAAATGCCTGGAACAGGATGATCTTGGGTCTGTTGAGGTGTTCTGTGTAACTCAAGAAAATTAACAAAAAGAACATGCAGGGCAATGGAGTGTTTAATTCAGAGTGGGGTCGCTCTTTTAGCTCCACCCCCAACATCATGTCTCCTCCTACCAAGTGTGTGTTGCACAAAAAGTCCAAACATGCAAACAGCTATGTACATGTTAGGGGTTCCACGCGAGCAGCTGTTGGACTACAACTCCCATCACCCCCAGCCAGCATGTCCAGTGGTCAGGGATGATGGGAGTTGTAGTCCATGCCATCTGGAGGTCCAAACCATTGATCACACTGGGACTCCATCCTGGAAGATGAGGTTTTTTCCACTATGAATCATTTTGACATGCGTTGGCAATATATAGAATATCTGTTAAGCTCCTCTGATGACAAGGAAGCGGGAGCTTTCCTTGCTGGATTTGATGCTGGGAGCGAGCTGATTCTCTGCATTTCTTGATTGCGGCACTCAGTATAGAGTGAGATGGAGGGGGGCAGGTATATTTTCCAGAGCGGCTGTGGATTGTTCTAATATTTTCTGTTTGCGCAGTAGTTCAGCCTGAGAGCCATTATTATAAACCCTCAAGAGTTAAGTGGGGGAATTCTCCCAGGCAAATCCAGCGCATTGCTGTAAGAGGAGACAAAGTCAACTCTTTTGAAGGGCGATGTGGAGGAACTCAAACATTGGGATGTGGCTCAGCCGCTGCTCAAGTGTATGAGGGCTGGGAGAAATAATGGGAAGATGCTTGAGCTTCACTGATCCCTTACACTGAATTCAAGCAGCACAATCTGAAGAAGTTTTGCTCAGAAGCCAGTCATACTTATTCCAATAGGACCTGCTCCCTAATCTAATTGTTGGCCAATTGCACCATTGAGGAACCTCCAGCCCGCAGGCCTAATGAACACCCTCTGAGCTTCTTCAACCAAGTCACCCATCTGCCCTACCCTTCATAGAATTGTACAGTTGAAAGAAACCACAAGGGTCATTTAGCCCAACCCTCTGCAGTGCAGGAATCTTTTGCCCAACACAGGGATCAAACTCACAACCCTGAGATTAAGAATATCATGCTCTAACAACTGAGCTGTCCCAGAGGCCGTGTATGTCGTCAGATGTGTGTCTAGGCCCAAAAGGGGTTTGTGGAGCCCCATGCATTGCTTTTTGCAAGCCCTGGCCATCAGCTGACCAGCAGGACTCTCATAGAACGGCACGCATCCCTTTGAACACCTGACAATCGGCTGATGGTTGGTGCTTGCACCACGCTGCATATGGGCTCTGTGCAAGCTCCGAAGATCAGCGGATTGTTAGCACTACAAAGTTTCATGAGAAGCTTATTCCCCTCCTCCAATTTTAATTTTAAACCCCATGGGCAAAATCATTCTGATGCCAGGTGGTTTTACAGGTGAGGGGCCGCCAATGTGAAACGTGGTGGGTGGGGGTGGGGACAGAAGGATCCGGGCAGCTGACCGGATCTAGTTCCTTGCCCTTTATCTGTCATGCTTCGTTAGCACTGATTACATTGCCTTTTGATAAGATAAAGTGGCTTGTAAAACATTTTCAATGAATAGACATGCCTGTTGTTGCTAGTCCTACCATTAGGCAGAGTGAGGCGGCAGCCTCAGACGGTAGAAGCTGGGAGGGCAGAGCAGGACATGGCCTGCTCTGTGCCGCTCCCGAAGCTAGCTAGCTGCCCTCAGATGTATAGGAGGACTCACATTTTTAGAGCTGAGGTAAGGTTTGATGGCCAGCCTTGTCAGCTTCTCGATATGGAATTGTGTGGGAGGGAATGCCATCTCGCCCTTTGCCTCAGGCAGCAAAATGTTCTGGTTCGGCCCAGAGTATTACCTCATTAAGTGGCCATAGGATTGTGGCCTGAGCCACTGGAGTAAGCTGTTCCGCTATCCTATTCTTTCTTAATCGAAAGTCCCACAACAGCATAAATCTGCAGGGCGTGTGCTTTCAGGGCGAGTCCAAAGTAGAAGTGGTGTCTACGGAAATGAGCCTGCAGTTTTCTCGGTCAAGATGCCCTGCCCAGCTGTGGGAGTGTTAATTCAGGCATCGGAGTACACACAGAAAACTGGAAAGTTGTCCATCAGATTAGGTAGCCTGTACTGTTACCGCAAAGCTAGCAGAACAGTTAGTGACGCACTCGGGGGGGGGGGGGGAGACTGTTTCTTTTTGCAGCCTTGAATACGGAGCACAAGGATTTCCTTTTTTTTTTTTTTTTTTTTTTTGCTTAGCTTATCAGCTTTAGAGAAGGAACGTTCCTGCCCATGAGGGAAATCAATTGTCAAAGTGTGTCAGGTGCGACAAGGAAGTTGTGCGAGTGTATTGTTGGCGCTGAACAAGTTTCTCCACTGTGAACATGCTGAAAAGTTTGCTTTGGCAAACAAGTATTTCCTCTAAAATCTGCCTAGGGTGGTGGATGTTGCTGGTTTAAAAAAAAAAACCACACTCTCCCCTTCTTCTTCTTCTTCTTCTTCTTCTTCTTCTTGTCGCGTTTAAATTATTTAAAATGCCCTGGGAGTTTGTTTTATCCTAGTGCAGGGCTTGAGGTAATGCTTTTACTGAGGTAATACATTTAAAGCACATATTGTCTCCCTCCCCCAGGAATCGTGGGAACTGTAGTTTACCCCCTTGCACATACAGAGACGGCTATTATTCCCAGCACCCTTAACAAACTACAGTTCCCAGCGTTCTTTGAGGGAGAAATAAGTTTTAAATGTATGGTGTGAATGTAGCCAAGAGCTACATTGCCTCAGGAGCAATTTGTTTGGGGGGAGGGCAGGGCCAGGTAGGTGAGGTCCAAATCCAAAGTTGTTATGGCCCTCTTTCTTTCTTTCTTTCTTTCTTTCTTTCTTTCTTTCTTTCTTTCTTTCTTTCTTTCTCTCCCTCCCTCCCTCTTTCTTTCTTTCTGCCACCTCCTTTTCTAATTGTATTTTTTTGCGTCTCGTTCTGCTACCCCTTCCTCCACCCACCTTTTCCCCTTCTTCCTTGTCACTCAGGTGAAATTGTCCCGGGGGTGTAGGTACCCCACCTCTTCTCTACTGCAAGGACAATCCTGGTATAACACAGTGAGGCTTTGTTTAGGCTGCTCAGCCTCCCCGGCTGCTAAGCGGAGCAGCCGCCACAGACACTTTCCTGCATATCCTCCAGCCTCCAGAGCTTCAACTCTAGTTCTTTTGGTCTGGATTAGAGAGAGACCTGGAGAGCAGAGGGGAATAGGGATTTAGAGGCTTTTTAGAGGGTGCTCTCCCATTTTATGCAATTACACTTAGGTGCATGAGGGCCCGGGACGTAACCCCTGTGTAAGTGGAGGTGATGCTTGCACCATATATTACAGGTTCACCTTCCATGCGCCTACCTCATAGCACCAGCAGTGAATGTACCTGCCTTATACCAGGTCAGGCCATTTGTTCATCAAGTCAAGATTCTCTACTCTGACAGCAGTGGCTCTCCAGTGCCTTTTCCACCATCTCTCTCTGTCTCTCTCTCTGTCTCTCTCTAACTTCCCTTGCTGTAAGGGCTGCTTGGAAATTTCAGCCGTCTCCCCAAACAAAACGTCCCAGAGGCAAGGGAGGCAAAGATACGGATATGGGGGAACAACAACCACATAAAACATTCTCAAGGAACAATTGAGAGAATTGACTCTGTGAGAAGTTCTTTGGTAGGATGTTGTGGCCTTCTCAAGATCCCCTTGAAGATATTGGAGCTT